TAAATTGAACCATTACAAATTAATTCAGGCCTTTAATAACTGGTTAAAGACCCCTTCAGCTTTATATGCACCACAAAAATAAATAAATATGAAAGCGGCGATTGCAGTTAACGGTTTCTCATTTCTCCTCTACCCATTTCTTATTTAATCCAATACTGGTAATCCAATTTGTCCATCAGACTTTTAAAGGGCAAGATGAGACATCTTAGATACTTTTCAAAGTACAATACATATTTTTTTTTCTTGTAAATGAATTCAGAATGTTTAATTTCCCCCCACCCCCCCCTCAAATGTTCCTCACGCTAATGTGGAAGGAGGAGAGAAAGATGAAGAAAAAAAAATAAAAAAAAAAACAGAAAAAAATAAAAAAACAAGCTGAACATTGTTCAGTGTGATTAAGTACGAGCTCATTAAATAGCTGTCAGTGCCTCACTTTGAATATGCATGAAGCATATAATCAGATCTCGTACCATCACTAGAGTAGAATACGGTAAGCACAAAGGACTGATTTAATTACTTGGAGTAGGCTGTAGTGTTAAAGCAGTTTTGTTACTGGAAAATAAAAGCAGGGTCTGCTTTCTAACTGTTTCGAAAAACAAGGATGGGGGAGAATGACATTTCAGTTCTTCCACAAAACTGGAATCAGGAATAGAAAGGATTTTGAATTTTGTCATCAGTACTTCAAATCTGAATAGTCCCTAACACATGTGTATTGCTCAGTTTCACCACAACCCAAAAATCAACATTTCCTTTTTGCTGGCAATTTTCCTTAAGCCTGGTTTTTGTCCTCAAAGTCAAAGCTGTGTATAGAAATCATAAAGCCTGTGTTTTAACTCACTGAATATCTGAGGGTGGCAATAGAATCTTTATAGAATAGGAAAGAAAATGAGATAGTGTATTCCTCTCCCTATAGTGTTAAATTAACTATTTAGGTGGCTGCCCCCCTTTATTCCCCTACATTTATTTCACAGCTGCGTGTATCCACCGGCGTGGAGGAGGCTCGGGCCAAGTGCTGCCCTGACCAATCAGAATCTCCTCATTAAATCTACGCATCTCTATGGGGAAATTTCAGCATCTCCATGCGGAGTGTGGAGCTGCTGACCTTCAGTGATTTAGTTGTTCTGGTGACTATAGTGTCCCTTTAAATATTTTTCATGACGCTATTTGACCAACATAGAATGAACACTGTAATTTGGGAAACCATGTTTCTTATTTTCAAGATAACAATCCACCCAGATGGTTTGGATACTATGTTCACAATCTATTATCAACATTATGAATTACATATAAACTGGTCTGGAAACAGGAAGTAGTGTTACTAACATTTATCTCCATGTTAAAATTAAGCTAGGATCCACTTATTTTTGTGTACTTTGTACTTTGATAATGATGGCAGTATGAGCTTGTGGATGTAGTGTAACAAGATTCTCATATTGTTTTTATGTAGCCTGGAAACTTTGGAAATTGTATATTGTGTGTGGGTACCAAACCCTTCTTAAGTATTTCCTTAAAGCGGCACTGTCATGGCCGAATACCGTTTTTATTTTAAAACCCCCCTCACAAATCTAATCTAATTGTTCCCCTAGTCACCCCCAAATGCCCCTTAAGCCCCCATATTACCTATTTATGCATCTTTATATTGTGTCCAGACCTAGGTCCTGGGCGCCGCCATCTTTGTGTGGGTAGATGAAGTCCCTGTGGGACACGTCATCTGCCCACACTAGATAACGCTGTGAAATTCCCTCCCAGTTAAACACTTGGGGCACCCGAACGGGAATTTCATCTATTCATCTGTCAGAAAGACTAATAAATTAATAGAAATTTGTAATGAATGAACAAAGACCTCTCCGTTCGGTTTATTACAAGGAGGTAGCTACCGGCACAAATAGGATCGAAGTTTCATTCATTCTAATGAAATTCCGATCAGAACAAAGTCCTGAATTGCGTCCTAACTCCAATGGAGAAACTGTTCTCATTCTGTTAGGATGAAATTCAGTTGTTTCGCCAGCGTTCTGTCTAAGTGACAGGACGTTCGGGAATACTGACAGGAAGCATCGCGAGATCACGGAGGAAAGGTATGAATTGTGGCAAAATTGCTTTGACCACAGGAAACTGAGCACATTTTGTTCCTCCGCTGGTCAAAGCTGGTCAAGCATAGGAAACCTCCAAACTAGAGCAGACAGGAAGAAATGAAGAACAGATCCTGACAGAAGAAGAGAAGAGGAATCGATTAAAGGAAGGTAAGTTCGGCATGAAAGTGCCGCTTTAACAATAATCATAAATATTTTTATATTGAATGCAATAAAATACCAATGAGAAATTTACACTAATCAATTTATTTTATGAAGACAATCCCTAAATATTTCAATAATAAAGCTGATCAGATGTAAGGTATACGAAAGTGTATGTAAAATATATTCCGATGTCATGAAATCAGTGTTAAAAACATCATCACTACATACTGAATCCACGTGATTTTGGAATTTTCAAGGGATGTAAAAATAGTTACGCTTGGTGACTTTACCGTTACCATCACACTGACCTGGACAAAAGCCAAACAAAACAAATAAATTAATAAAAATATACAACAGTCTTGATTCAAGTGTCACTAATTTTAGATAGAGGGAAAGCACAAGACAATTTGATATTAACATATTGCTAGTCCAAGAGTATACAAGACCAGAAGTCGTCTTTAAATACATAATACTGTAGAACAACTAACAACTACTAGTTTAACAATAAACATTAAAAAGTTCTACTTAAGGAATAACTAAGTAATAACTTTGTATCAATTAGAGGTTATGGTACAGAATGTACTCTACAGTCATCTTGCTGAGAGTGGGTTATAAATCGGAGACTTGCCTGATTGTTGCACACAGAAACTGTGTCTCTGGGCTGTGTATGAAGTGGTCAAGGTATGGCTGAAGTTTGTTTTTAGAGCCGTTACACCCATGCAAGTGACGACTGGAAACGTTGCTTCTGGATAAACTACTTTCACACAAACTGCACAGACAATTATGGGATAGGATCAGGCCTCATAATGAACAATGATAGGTACTTGATTGATGCAGCCTCGTCAGGGATGCCTGAAGTGCCCACCGACTCTGCTACAAGATCTTTTAAGTTTAGTATCTATATTTCGGTTTACATCATTGTTTAGTGCATTATTTATACAACAAATTTAAAAACACAGGCTCAAATAACAAAACAGTTTATAGTAATCACTATACTAGCCACGTGGCAGGAACATTTTATCACCTAGCACAGTGATGGCTAACCTTGACACCATAAATTGTTTCTGGACTACATTTCCCATAATGCTCAGCTAGCTTTTGGACTCTAAAAGCTAGCTGAGTATCAAGGGAAATGTAGTCCAGAAACAATTTATGGTGTCAAGGTTAGCCATCACTGCACTAGCATGATGTGATGTGTAACCCAAAGGCTGGCTTTCGAGCCCTGAAATAGGCTTATCTACACAGAGCAAACCTGTATATTCATGTTGGATTATGACTTTTGTGTTTTTCTTTTCTAGCCTCTAATTAGGATTCTGTGTTAAGAGTCTGGAAATGAAGGAAACACTTGATTGCCTAAATTTGCTTCCTTCCTCTGCTTTACTGCATCTCATCTTTCCAGGTTACGGTATATTTAATTATCATAGTTTCACATGGATTGGAGGAAAAACGTATACCATTTGTGATCTTGAATAACAGAAATTCCAAATAAGCAGCTTCTAAAATACTGCAGAATCTTATTCTGGCTACATTTACTATAGCACAGAATTCTATCCTGTTACCTTTGTGGACCACCGGGGTTTGGAAAATGCACAGCTCCCATTAAAAACAACTGGGAGAACTCGACCAGCAAAAGGTATCACCTACTTCCAAGACTTTAATTTATTAACTAGGGGTCAAAGGTAGAGATCTTGTATAGTACGGTATGTCCCTTTAAATTTGTATTGCCCTGTTAAATTTGTTAATGTCTGATTTTCAGGGTGACCCTTCATGAGCAGTGTGTCTCCAACCCCCATTTTCATGCTGCAAGAAACAAAGTGAATGGATATTAGCTCACCTGTGCACAGAAAAACCCTGACGGATTTGGTATTTCTATGAGTCAACAAGACAATTTTTTATTTCTAAAGAATGGATTATTTTACCACTTTCTAATATGATAATATGAAAATAATAAATCAGATTGCACAAAAAAGTAACCAGTCACTACCCTAAGCATTCTTGTTCAGTATTCCAGGCATCCGCCTTCTAGAACTGGGCTGTTTTATCTCATTGTGCCACGAGATCCAGCCTATCATTCTATCAGAGTCTTTCATCAGATGCTAGGAGTAGCACAGAACGTGTGAACTTCCCCATCATTTATTAGGATTACAAATTACAAAGTGTTACAAAGGTGGTATTTAAATAGCAGATCATGTTCGTGTTGCACACTGCACCATGAGACAAATTGCATGTTGACAGTTTGCACGATTTAGCCAGACTGTCTTTCTGTATCACTGGCAACTCTACACTCTATAAAAAGAATTAGGCTGTTTATTAACAGATACAACAAGTAAGCTCCAATAAACAAATATACTACTGTACTCAAAAAAGTAGCTCTTTACTAAAATTCAAACAAAGCAGAAATGGTCAATAATGGTCTCCAAGTAAGAGGCAGAGAATTAAGGAAACAAGGTACAATACCAGCTGGACAACTTTGGCTAGTCATTCCTGAATTAAAGTAATGTAATAAAACAAAAACAAAGAATAAAGCGTTCTCCTCTACCGTGCATTAGTTGGACAAATGAATGTTCAGAAAGGCTGAACTTGATGGATGGATGTCTCTTTACAGCTCTATAAGTTTGTAAAGAAATGATAATGGAATTATATATTTATACCAAAGCCATACTTCATCTTAATGCTTTTGAGCGGTCATAATTTAGGCCAGCAAATGAATCGTAACATTATATAGAGTTTTTATATATATATATATATAAAAATGTAAAAACAGGAGCACTCACGTGGATTTTTCAAACATGTATTAACAGTCTTAACACAAATCTACATCAACGTTTCGACCCTTCAGGGTCTTTATCAAGATGAAGGTTCGAAACGTTGATGTAGATTTGTGTTAAGACTGTTAATACACGTTTGAAAAATCCAAGTGAGTGCTCCTGTTTTTACCATCATATCTACTGGCCTGGAGGCACCCTGGTAATATCACTACTTTCGTTTTTTTGGGGGTTGAGTGCCAGAGTCTAGACTGCTATATATATATATATATATAAATAAAACCAAGAGGGCTGTACTCACCTGAACATGCATACATTATAGGGTGCTTCTGGGGTCAATATATACAACATGCATACACAATCCAGCGCACTCGCCTCATTCCAGGATCCTATTTAGCCTTGACCTGCAGAGAGTCCCAGGAGGAAGTAGTTCCCAGGTAAGTTGATTGATCTAATAAGGGTAGGCATTAGGCTGCTAGAGTAGGACCTGCTAAGAATGGGGTACATTGACGTTGTGGCAGGCTTATGCAATGTATGATCATATAATGTAACTAAACCCCCATTTTTTTTTTTGCCTAGGTGAAGTGTTTTTAAATAAAACTATTACAATCTGTGAGATTTGAAATCATTGTTTAGTGAATAAGCGAGTGCGCTGGATTGTGTATTCTGTATGTTATATATATATATATATATATATATATATATATATATATTTATTTATTTATTTTAATATGGTGCTTTTATATAGGGATTTTAAAATATAGATATAGTTTAATCTACAGGATTTGATGCTTCCAAAAGAAGTAATGTATAAAGTCATAATCTCAAAAACGTTTTCTCCTCTGATTTTTTCTTCTCACCTTAATATTTGCATGCCTCTCCACCCATAGATGCTGTTTTACCTAACCCCAGACTCTCTCTTACAGTCTGTGCCCCAAACAACAGCATTCATAAAGTTTGCACACAGGACTCAGAACCTACCAATTCTGCCGGCCAAAGAACTAAGGTCTAGATTGGCCATTGATCTGAATTACTTCTATCAAACAGAATATCAACGGCCATATACAGCCAGAATAAAGAAAAAAAAAAGACCCTTTTAATGCATGTTTAAAAATAAAAAATATTGTTCTCCCATTTCCAAGTATGTTATAGATAGCCACCCTCCTCTCCTCAAAGGAAACCATATAAAGAATACATCCACATTTCACTAGAGTGTTAATGATTATGCCTGTTTTACATGTTTTAAAGGATTTCAGAATACGCACACTAAAAAGGGATTGAAGCATCCAGACTGGTGTGTTTAGATCTGCAGCATCTTTAACATATGCTGCATGTAATTGGATGCATAGAGGTCCATAATGAAGTAGCTAAGCAATGTTAGGTTTCAAGTGATTGATAAAAGAGAGAAGGACCCACAAGAGACCAGTAATAAAATCACCTGCTAATATCACAGGCCGCAACACAATAAGGGGACTTCACTTTGCGTGTTAAACCAGCCCCAGAAATCTCTATTTTAACACTTCGACTCAACAGGCACTCCAACCTATGAAATGATGAAAACGGAATCTCATCCTTTCTCATAATCTAGGGACAAAAGCTAAAGAAGACATCATCCCATTAACTGGTGATCTCAACTGCTAATGCAGAGTACTTCCTGGTGTCTTTTATGTAGAATACAGCTATTTAAAAAGAAGAAGAAGAAAAAAAACACTAAACACTCACTGTGACTAACACAGACTCATTCATCTTTTATCTGGCTCTCTTGTTAGGGAGAGGGTGAGTGAGGCTGAAGGTGTCATTGATATGATGAAGTGGAAATTAAATCAGAAATGCTCTCATATTTTCTACATCAGACTAATTTATTTTTTTGACAAAAAACAAAAAAAAATACAAAATTTCCTCCGCCATAGTGCTCATACTCGGCCCCCTTCACATTTTTAATTTTTTTTTTAAAGAGTAGAATAGCCAACGAGTGTGTTGGATGAAAAGCTCCAAGGTTGGACACAAAAAGCATTCGAAATTCTCATTTACTTGTCTTTATTTTGCTAGCGCCATGTGGTCCTTGAAGATGTAGAAACACGGGAAGCTGAGTAAAGATCAGAGCACGCTCATTAGCATTCTGACCAAATTGGAGTGGTGGAGATGTATAGTTTGCCTAGTTTGTCGTTTTTGAAAGCCGCCGGTGGTAAGCTTTCTGTTTCATTGTGCTTTTGTCTTTTTTTTGAGTTTCTTAACACAGCAGGGGTGTTTGCTAGCTCCTGGACTGCACAGTGCATTGTGGGAACTTATACTGAATGGCCAGCCTATAGTATCACTGCAGTCTAAGTCAGAAAGTTTTTTTTTTTTTCCCTCCCTTCATTTACGGAGAAAATTTACACCAATTTATCCCATTCACCTTATGCTGCCAGCTGTGACCTCTCCTAACACCTGAATTAAAAAGTCGAGAATAAAAATGCAAGTGAGTTGAATTGATATTGACAGGGTGGGGAGGGAATCGAGAATCACTGCACAGGGCCCACTCTGATTCAAACACAAAGTGATAAAGAATTTAATTGAAATTCGATTATTTACAAAGAGCCGGTGATGAATTGGAAAAAGATAAAGATGATTGCAATTCAGAAAGGAAAAAAATACATATCTTTTAACAAATAAAATTTCTGTTCTACAGAGACTTTTGAAAAAAAAAAAAGGAGGGTGTCAGAGAGATTGGTTTATGCTCCACAAATATGTAAATAAAGAATTACCTCTTAGAAAACCCAAGCAAGTTATTATCCTGGCTATTTGATTTTTATTAAACATAAGGCTTACTTTGATGGTCTATAAAGACTACATTAATGCGGTTATCCTACATGAATGTTTCCAAGTTGCAGAGAAATGGATAAAAGTCTTTTTGGATGAATTTATCTGCTAAATCCTTGTGGTTGCCCTCCTATCTTGGATGATGACCCTAAAAGAATGTCAACAGCTCATTTCGCAGGAAGCGGCTAAGAGTCACTATGCAAGTCATAATCTCCTCACTCTCAAAGAGAGCGTTTCAAACATCACATTTCACAAGCTGTTAAAATGGAAAAAAGAATTCACTCTCATCTCCTGACCATCCTGATAAAAAAATATTTCACATATGTGCTTCCAGAATAATTTTACAACACAACGATGCAAGATTTATGCTTATGGAAATCATTTTTTTCCCCAATATAATAAGAAGAGCATCCTATTTCAAATTAAAGGAGGGTAAATAGTAAATCCTAGCAGAGGAAAGCTTACATGTAAAATGAAAATGCATTTAGAAAATGCAGCACTGAAGGCTATCGGAAAGGCCGGTTAGTACAGTGCATCAATGGTCTATTATATAAATATAAACAAGGTCAGAAATGTAGTAATAGAACCGTACAAACACAGGAGTGGTCCGTCGCAAGAGGACAGGCGGCAGGGAGTTGCACAGATCACCTCCCTATCAACTGCCTCACGGCGCATTGCTGGTGTGGGTGCCACATGGTTGGTGCCAACTCTGTCGCTGTCCTTTGGCTGGTGGTAAGGTGGATGCTGGGATTTCTCTGCACAGAGTATCCAGTTCCAACACACAACCTGTACTGATGCTGGAAGCCAGGATGTGGTGTCCCCCCAGCCTCGATACCAGTGCCGAATTGCAGGGAGCATAAAAGCAATCGGTACCGAAGGCACCCAACAGCAAACCACTGGAACCCAGGAATTAGGTTCCACTTCAAATTCCTTTCAAGGTAAGAAAAGGGAGACTGCTAGGTGAACGTTACTGTAGAAAACAAACAACTTGAATAAAAATTAGGTGTGTGTATATGAATGTGTATTTGTGTATAAATCTGTGTGTATATGAATGTGAATGTGTTGTCCTCAAGAATATATGAGCAGAGGGAATTCAAGAAAGATCGTTACAAAAATGAGTCACTACCCAGATACCTGGAACGTAGGGGAGATTTATCAAGACAAAACATGTGGTAATCTGGGGTAAAGTGCCAAATAAGGAGCAATCCCCACATAAACAAATAGAATGTCTAAAATGTAATCTTTTCCTTCATATATCTCCATCAGTGTTCGTGTTTTCAAGATGGAGGCTAGATGGTAGAGGTAACATATCATAGGTGCTCCCAGAAATCTATTAGGAGATTCATTTTTACAGGAAGTGTTTTTGTTATTGTTGGTGGTTCTTGACTGATAACTCACGCAGCAGACCACAGGGACAAGGACTCAACTGTTCTGAATTTTCAAGGTGGATCTCACACCTTTTCTGCAGCAAACCGTTGGACCAATGAAGGCCAACATCTGGCACTCCAAATGTTGTCAGCTATACATCTAATGATGCACAGATCAAATGCCAAAGCATAGTCACCAACAAACGTATACCGACACTAGGGCGGCCCACTGAAGCAAATGGGAAACCACTATGAATGGATGAGTACATAATTCATTACTGATAATTTTGTTGCTTATAAACCATTTGGAATCAGTACAAAGTCACAGTCTTTATACCACTGTATGGAGTGCACAGCAAAGTCTCTATTTCGCACCAAGCACTTATGAGCACTTTTATCTGTACTCCGATCAACTGACAACTATGTCCATTCTGACCTGCTGTATCTAGATTGGAAGGCACAGAGTAATCTTGTTTTAAAGGCTTTATTTTAGGCCGATGTAATAGTTCTGACAAAAGAATATATGATTTATACCTAAACACTTGCAGTCAAATTTATTCTCAAACAAACTCAGCAAAACTTATTTTTCAATTGTGTTGCTCGGGTAACAGGTAAAAAGGGATAAAACCAACATTTTAGGCTGTGGACTAAAGTTTTACAAAAAAAGTAACATTTTTGTGTTGGCTTTCTATTGACTAAAATGATATGTGCCCATATTTTTTTGCAAGTATGGTTATTATTTATTTAGAAATAATGATTTAAACAAGTACATTAGTACTTTGACATCATGGGTGCCCTGTTAATGAAAAAGATCCTTATTGCAAGCTATTAACAGAGAGGTTTAGAGACATTGTAATACATAAACCTTATTCTAAATACCAACCTGTGTCCTAAATGGACATATCCTGCTTTTTCCCAAATATTCCCATCTCCTCCTACAGACTGCACCACCTCCCTAGTGCCATATGCAGTAATAACATACAACAGGTTATTG